CCCTCACCCCCCCCCCCCCCCCCCGTCTGAACACGCCCATCTCTCAGTGTTAGCGCGGCTCCTTTTGTTGTCTTTCCGGCGCCGTCGTCTCGGGTCGCTAATGGCCCCGTCTGCCTCGCTCTCTCTGCAGAATATCTCGCTGATCTCCAGGGAAGGCCGGAAGGTGATTCTGGAATCTGCTGGGATTTTTATGGCAGTTCCGTGTGCGGTTCGTTTCACACAATCACACAAAATTGCATGAAGGACTGCTGCAAGAACCAAAACGCTTTGAGGGAATCAGGCATGCATGAGATTGTGAGGCCAAGTGACATTGAGAAATTTCAAGTGGAAGTCAAGTCAAAAATTTTCTTTGGATTGATATGTGTCCTCACGCGTTTAAACCGGGTGTTCTTATGACTTTTGCTTTTGAAGAATAAGAATTAAGCAGATATTTTCATCCATCGAGAGGTGCGGCTATTTTGACATTCTACCGCCCTCTGCTGTCAACTGAAATCGACGTCAAAGTGTCCTCGGGCTCACATTGCAAACGACGCGGTTTTCTTGGGATTGGTCATGTGACGTTCACAGTTCAATCACTTCATTCATCTATTCATAAATCCATCCGTTTCCGATCCATTCATTTTGCGATCCGCTTATCCTCACAAGGGTCGCGGCGGGTGCTGGAGCCTATCCCAGCTGTCTTTGGGCAGTAAGCGGGGGACACCCTGAACCGGTTGCCAACCAATCGCAGGGCACACACAGACGAACAACCATCTGTGCTCACACTCACACCTAGGGACAATTTAGAGTGTTCCATTAACCTGCCATGCATGTTTTTGGAATGTGGGAGGGAACCGGATTACCCGGAAAAAACCCACGCAGGGATAACATGCAAACTCCACACAGGAAATAAACCACTCGCAGGAAATAAACCACTCGCCTATGAATCTTTTCCAGACTCTCAAAAAAAAAACTAATTTTTGTGAAGTTTTTAACGAAGAAAAATAGCACAATGTTGGAAAAGTATTAATGTAAAAGCTTATTAAAACCCAGACAAAGTGAGGAAACAGAAAATTGAATTAAACTACGGTCAAAGTCTCTCTCGCTCTCTTTCACACACACACACACACACAACAGTACATTTGTGTGTTTGTGTGCCTTCAATGGGCGTAGTTTACGAGTGACATCAAGGGCTGCACTCAGTCAGTTGACTGTTCGTGTCACCTCCATGCTCCTTGTGAGTGTCTTCATTTTGCGTTGGTGTCCTTGACAGAAGGAAATGTCGAGATCCTGACAACATTGTTTTTCTTTGTTGGTGATTCCTGCGGATTTTGATAGAGCCATCCACTGAGGGTGGAGTTTACAACATCCTGGCCCACCCACCAGGGCCTGAAGAGGAGGAAGAGTATGAGGAGGAAGAGACAGAACGGCGGCTCGGAAGGGAGGAGTTTGAAATTGAGCTGTCAGACCAACCGCTGCTTCCCTGCTACACCCTGCAGGTTTCGCCGGCAACGGGGTAAGTGTCGCTGTCTGACGACCACATTTTATATATGCATGTCACATCCCGGCTGGATTACTAGAATGCGCTTTACTCTGGAGTAAAATGCATGACTCCAAACCTCCATGAAGCGTCTCCAGTTGGTCCATAATGCTGCTGCTGGCCTCTTGACTGGTACTCATAAGAAGGAGCACATAATTCCTACTCTGGCGTCCCTTCACTGGCTCCCGAAATATTTTAGAGTTCTTTCGAAGATCCTCTTCTTTGCCCCCTGCCCGGTGCCTCAGGTCTGCGGACCAGACATTATTAGAGGTACAAAGAACCAAGCGGAGATTCAGAGGGGATGTAGCCTTTTCCGTTGCCGGTCCCTCTCTTTGGAATGACCTCCCACTGAACATTCGGCAAGCCCCCTCACTGCTCATCTTTAAAACTTGTCTCAAAACTAATTTGTATTATTGAGCTTTTGACTCAGCATGACTCAGACTTGATTTTTGTTTGACTGTTTTTGTGCTTTCTACTGTCTTTGTTATTAATTTCTTGTTTTATTGTTGTATATATGATATTTGCTCCGTGTACAGCGTGGTTGTTTTCAAGTGCTCTAGAAATACACTTGAGTTGAGTTCATTTCATTTCCTCCGCTTGTCTACTCTTCTTCGTGTCCTCTTTCCAGTCCTCAGAACTGGCTCCTCCTCTGCGACGTCTTGGCTCATCTTCAAATGACAGCTCACACCTTCCGTCGCCTCTTCCCACATCTCGAAGTTTTCACCATCCCAGAGGCCGAGTTCTACTGCCAGACATCGCTGTCGCAGCCTTGCGCGCATCCTGCTCAACGGGCTTCTTTCAGATCGGGTGCCAAGGACTGGCTGCACTTAGTGGAGGCTACACCGGAAATGTCCGCCATGCTTGGCTCCTCCCTCGAATTTGTGAACGAGCAGGAGCCGCCGGTTGTCTCCAACATATCATCTCCAAGGCCGGCCCCACCGCCATCATCATTGCCGTGTGTCCCAGTTCTGCCATCACATGCACCCGTAGGCGGAGCTTCGCAAGGCCAAAGCCAGGATTGTGCACCAGTCACTTCAGTGGAAAGGAAGGCAAATGCGAGCAGCTGTGTCACACGCAACCAAGAGACCATCAATATGTTGGAAGCTAAAAATAATACCGGTCCTTCCTCAAAAACGGACTCTGTTGCGTGTGAAGTACAGCACTTGCAAAATAGAATCACGGTAAGTACACACTGTGGTACCGAGGAGCACTCGCAATGTGGTGAAAACACGGATGTGCACATGAGGAATCGCAATTCTCAGAATGAGGACAGCGAGGGTGTTCCCCAAGTTGTTGGCGAAGCCTTGCAGAAAGTAAGCACCCGTGCAATTGATCAGAAGTGTCGAAGCTTACGTGACCTCAGCGGTCAGACTGTGAAGATGGACGCCGCGTGGCGAAGACACTTGGCAAATGTCAGAGTTCACATCAGGGACTTGGGGATGAAATTTGCTGGAGGCCGGACCCCAAGCAATGTGATGGATTACAGGAAGGTTGTTGACAAGGTCACTGAGAGCAAAGCAACTCAACTCAAAAATCAGCCGGGGAGATGAGAAGTTACAAATGACCCTTGACCTTTGACAAACATTTTTGGGGAGGACAACATTCTTTTTTGGACAAAACAGCCATCATCAAAACATCAACCAGCCATGCATTCATCCATTTTCTATTGTGTCGTGTCTTAATTCGGGTCACTCGTGAGCTGCAGCTGATCCCAGCTGACTTTGGGTGAGAAGCAGGGTACACATTCGACTGGTCGCCAGCCAATCACGGACCGACCGTCCAACCAACCCATACGAGGTGCTTATACTGTACATCGTGTATACAGTCAATATTTATGAGTGTGTACAAAATAATTTTTATGCTCTGTATATTCTGTTGGTTGTCCGTTTGATGCGGTTGCAGTGGTAAATTTGTTCCAATTCGGGAATGTCGTTTGCTATATTTATGTGGTTTTGTATTCTGCTCCCCGTTGACTTTTTGTGCCATCGCCCAACTTCATGCCTCATCAAATAAACACAAAGGAGTAGAAAAGGAACTCGTTTGCATCTGACTCTCTAAAACAGGCTTGAATGCCAATCATTTGTCACCCTGTATACACAAAAATTGTGTCTCGAACATATCAGCGCTACAAATTACCCACCTAACCCATCTCATCTTTCATGTTGTTTTACACTGTACATTGTTCCTGTCAATTAGGAGATAACTGTGGCAGTGTTTGCATGTTTAGATAGATAGATAGCTAGATAGATAGATGGATAGATAGATAGATAAAAAGCCAGCTAGCTAGCTAGCTTGCTAGCCAGATAGATAGATAGACCATCTGTTGAGCATAGCGTAAGTTGAGGGGTTCATTGTTTTTGAAAGGATCGCTTTACTTTACGAACAGGCAAAAGGAGAGTTCCGTTTGAACGCAGCTTTATTTCCAAACGTCTGCACCGCAGTACGATCGAGATCGTACACTCCTCTCGGCAACTAAAACACTTCCTGCTTTCCTTTTCTTTAGCCAATCAGAAGCTATCAACATCAAATCACGTCCAAGCAATTATTAAACAACATAATGTAGTTGAGGTATTCTTAACATGAAATAATATGATGCTCGAACATAAAGCGATGATAATAAAATAACATAAGCTTGGAATAGTGAGCAGGTTGAAGAACCTGCGATGTTGCTTACTGGTCACCTCGGTCCATTGAGTTCATTTATGGGCTCACAACCTCTGATTTCCCTAAGTTGGATGTTGGCTTTTTTAATTCCAATTTTTGACGACAAATGCAAGTTGACAAATGTGGTAGCATTGACCCAAGCAAACAAAAAGCATAGGCATTTGTTGTCAAGGCAAGTTGTATCGGCTTGTTGTCTAAGCTAGGCTAACCAAAGCCTTCCTTTCGTCTGGCGGCGTGCATGTGTGTGCGCGCAGTGTGAATATTTCAAGACTGCGAGCGGGGCGATCATTTATTGATTACGGAAGAAGGAAAGCTGAATCGCTTTCCTGCCGACTTGCCGCGCGTAGGTGTGTTGCCTGGTATTTGACGTGTGGCTCAAAGTGTTGAAACAACTACCACAGAAGCAGTTTTTCGATGTTATAGAAACTTCTTAATGGACATATTGGGAACAAGACCTTGTTTATTTGTGTTAGTGGAAGACATTTTCTTGCAGGAATGTTTGGACGAGTTGTCTTGAGTCATTTTTGCAGACCACAATGACGAACCAGTTAGCTAATATCAGATCTACAGAACGCTATCTGTTTCAAAGTGTCTTTGATGACCCAATGATGGAGATTTGGTTCCCAGTCTGCCCTTTCTGAAGCGTCCACTGTCGCTTTATCTTCTCTGAACAACTATTCACAACATCCTTTCAATTTATCCTTCATTTTAATATTTTTTGGGAGGACAGAAAAAAAACTTGTGGGTGGCTCGACGCCAAACAGAACAAGTTTATGTCATCGTTTCAGTTCAGGTCAGGGCTAGCCTGTCACTTTTCTAGCATGTCTTTTGAACCCATAAAATAATTTTAAAGTTGATGTTGACCATGGCATTACCATCTCTGCGTTAATGAGAATGTCGCATGACCGCTTAAAGGTCATTTTAGCTGTTAGCGCAACAGGACGCTAGCAAAACAAGCAATGAGTGGATTTTTTATTTTTTTTATTTTTATTTTTTTGAGGGAGAGCGAGGATGTGTTTAAATGAGAAAGAGAGAGAGAAACGTAGAGGAGGAAAGCCAGACGGTTTCAAGCTTCCCTTTTTTTACTGACACACAAACACACTCTCACACATGCATTGTCGCACACGTTCCACCAAGACAAGGTCACTCTCTCACACACACACACACACACACACACACACACACACACACACACACACACACACCTTCATGCTTCACTTCCAAAGCTTTTAACACAACTTTCTCTCTTCCTCTCAGACATTTGCTCTCTCGCTCACTCCTGCTCTTATCTGACCTGCTCGCTCTTTCATGAGGAAAATTAGGAAATCAATTAGGCCCCCTCCCTTCCTCATTTCCTTCCCCGACTTCCTCCTCTTCCGTCACACGCCCTGATGGTGGTGGGACGTGGCGTGGCGCAGACGTGACATCGCAGCAGCGTTTTCTTCATCTGCTGCAATGGCAAGCTACCTCAAGTTCTTAAGATCCTGATGGAGGATCATGATCGAGTGAATCATTTGAATGGTTTTGTTTGAAATGAGGGTGGCCCGGTGGACACATTCCAAAAATATGCATGGCAGGCTCTGATTGAACACTCTAAATTGTCCCGGGGGGTGTCAGTGTGAGCGCGGATAGTTGTTCGTCTCTGTGTGCCCTGCGATTGGCTGGCAACCGGTTCAGGGTGTCCCCCGCCTACTGCCCGAAGACGGCTGGGATAGGCTCCAGCACCCCCCTCGACCCTTGTGAGGATGAAGCGGATCGGAAAATGGATGCCTAGATGGACGGATGTTTGAAATGATAAGAAACAACATTGATATATTCTCTCCACTGTGTCCTCTTCGACTGACATGGACAGCAAATGGCAAAAGTGTTGGGGTCTTGTTGAAACATTTTTCCTCTGGTGGCCACAGGTGTCAAACTCAAGGCCCGGGGGCCAGATCTGGCACACCACATCATTTTTGTGGGCCCGCGACAGCAGCTCAAACACGTCAACTTCCATGATCCTTTCTAAAATGTCGACCAAAATTTTAAATTCTCATATTTAATAAATAAGAGATATATTCAAAGCATTTTCTTGTCACCAAACCCTCATGATCGTCACTTCAACAATAGTTGAATCAACAGTTATTCTTGACTTCTTTATATGGTTCCAGTCTTAATGGAACCCCCCTTTTTTTGGGGGGGGGCATACAGTACTTGCTACTCGTTCTAAGAACATTTTGGCTTGAATATTATGTAACTTTATGATTTTTACTTGTCATTCTACATTTGAGTCCTTCTCAGTGTGACCTTAATAGACCTCCGTAGAATTTCTTTGGGGACACGTGATGTGGTGGGTCTTATTTCCACGAGCAGTTTTACCAATTTTCAACTTGGTGGAAAAATCTCAGCACACGTGCACACACACACACACACACACACACCCACACACAATCTAATTGCCTGTGTGCGTGTGTGTGTGTGTGTGTGTGTGTGTGTGTGTGTGTGTGTGTGTGTGTGTGTGTGTGTGTGTGTAGCGCATTATTTAAATTGGCTGGAGGAGAAACGAGACAGACAGAAATCTCCCTCGGTCTGTCCCACCTCCCCCAGCTGTCTACTCGCTCTGTCGCTCGCCGCCTTTGTCCGCCATCCTCTCGCCCTCCCCCCTCCCGTCCGCCCCTTCCTCGCGTCGTCCAATTACGTCCCTGTCGCTGGCTCGTTCTTCATCCCGTTGCCAGGGGCTGTCACATTGAGCCGTTGACACGCTAAACTATTTCCTACCTTGCGTCGCTCTCAGCAAAGCCATGTGCATTAATAGATGTCGACAAAAAATGCTGCGATGGACAGAAGAAACATCAACACATAAGCTTTTTGTCCAACAAGGAGAGAGGTCAAATGCCTCGAGGGAAACATTTCAAGCCTAACGTATGGTCACATCGTGACCAATCACACTTTTGTCTTCTGTTGAAAACCATTGTGTGACTTTTGTCACCTGTGAACATTCAAACTTAACAAGAGAAAGAGGATTTTCATTTCTAATTCCACATTGAGAAATAGTGGATAGTGGGATCAGGTGACAAAAACATTGCGAAAGAGAAAACCTAAGTATTTTTCATGAAAAATGGGGGTCAGCTTCCCTCACCCTTTACAATATCTATCCATCCATCATATGAACCGCTTTGTCGTCATGGGGGTCGCGGGCGTGCTGGAGCCAATCACAGCTGTCTTCAGATAGTAGGTTGGTTGCCAGTCTATTGCAGGGCACATATAGACAAATACTGTAATACCATGTGGCTCGCGACAAAAATGAGTTTGACACCCCTGCTGCAGACCAACGACCATTCATAGACAAACAGACATACATGATGACAGGCAGGAGACATCTTTTTTTTTAATGAATTCTTTCTGACAAAGTCTGCTTTATGCCAAGTTAATTGAATAAGTCAAAGCAAAAATTCAGCTGAATTACGGCTCCTATCTCGAAAACAAACGGCCTTAAATCGTGTCACCTGTATTTTAGGCTACCATCCGTCCAGAACCACCATCCGTTTCAAAACCGCTTATCCTGTACGGGGTCGCGGGGGGTGTTACTGGAACCTATCCCTGCTGATTTCGGGCGGAAGGCGGCCTATTAACAGCATTTAACTTAATTTTACACTTGTTTGACATTTTATCATGTTAAAATTTTATTTAAAAAACAAAAAGACGTTACAGGTACTACAATTTCATACTGGTGACAGTGTGACATTGGATTTATTCAATTTATTCAATGTACAGTGTATACACACACATACGTCCACTCCTAAAGTCCAAATTGGGTCTTTATTGTGCATGGTCATACTGCCCCCTGCTGGTCAACGTTAATCATCACATTACCAACCGCCCCCCCCCAAAAAAAAAAGTTGTCATTCACTTGCACGTTTGTTTATTGGAAGTCTCAAAATTGTAGATGTCTGCTTTCAAATGTAGGGAATAAAGATACATCAAAAATCTACTTACCGGTACTGTCAGTACAATAGCAGTAATATGTATTTTGTTACTTCCCACCACTGGACAAGCAGTATAGAAAATGCATGGATGGCTTTGATTGACAGCAATTCTTAACTGTGCCCACTAGAGGGCAGCAACATCCCGCATGTTGAATGCCACTGTTGTTCTCCTTCCTGCCTGAGGGGAGGGAAAGTGGAGGTGGGCGGGGGG